AGAAGGACATAACCTCTCATTGGCTACATTCTCACTACTACTACTACTCTGCACCTCTTCTTCCGACAGTATTTAAGTCTCCGCACTGTCGCTTGATCTTCAGATAGTTCCTGACAATGGAACTGAAGTTCTCCAGGCTGAGGGACTGACAACCTCAAATTCTACGACTTCAAGGGTGATGGACTGATTACATCTTCTTCACATCTCTACTGTTCCTGCCTACTTTCTGTATTCAATTCAATTCAATTCAATTCAAAGTTTATTCTCTATAAGGATTACATTGCTGAGTTTACAGAGATTTGGTTATTGTGTGGTTTACATGTAGTAAAATAGTGATTACAGAGTGTACCACTAGAACGCTTAGCATGGCTAGGCATTTCGGGCAGACTTAGTTTTATTCTTAATTGTAAAATATTACAAATTATGAGGTAAGTTGGTATTATGGCTAAGTGACTAAATACTAGTTTGTGAGTTTAGCAATGTGAATGCTTTTGTTTTGGCACAGTACATAGTTTCAGTATTGGAGTATCACAGGATTCATTATTTTAAGATTGAGGTTAATATTTCTGTTTATGGTCAAATGAGTCAGTGAGTGTAAGTGTGAATCACCAGGTGGTATTCGTGTAGTTAGTTGACGGGGTGTATCAGGGAGATAAGATGTTTTCTAATGGTAGTTTTGAAGGTGATGAATGTGTCTGCAGTTCTAGAGTTCTCAGGTAGGGTATTCCAGATTTTAGGGCCTTTGACATACATTGAATTTTTGTAAAGGTTTAGTTGGACACGGGGAATGTCGTAGAGATGTTTGTGTCTGGTGTTATGCCTGTGGGTTCTGTCACAACTATCAAGAAAGCATTTTAGGTCAAGGTTGATATTAGAGTTTAAGGCCCTGTAGATGTATATTGCACAGTAGTAAGTGTGGATGTACTGAACTGGGAGTAAGTTTAGGTCTAAGAAGAGTGGGGGGGGGTGTTGCCAGGGATGGGATTTAGTGATTATTCTTACTGCAGCTTTTTGTTGGGTTATTATTGGCTTTAGGTGTGTTGCTGCAGTTGATCCCCAAGCACAAATAGCATAGGTGAGGTATGGATAAATAAGTGAGTGGTATATAGTGTGGAGAAGGAGCATTTTGCGGGCATCGTAGTATCGTATCTTGGAGAGGATCCCAAACCGTTTTGGATACTTTTTTGGTTTATATGCTGGATGTGGGTGCTGATATTCAGGTTGTTGTCAAGGTATAAACCTAGGAATTTGCCCCCATTATTTCTGGTAATTAGAGTGTGTGTCAAATCTTAATGTTAATTTGTGCATCTCCTGCTCTGCTACCAAACATTAATATAGTAGGTTTTGTCAGTGTTAAGCGTAAGTTATATGGCTGTCATCCAAGTCGATATTTTAATCAGCTCCTCATTCACAATGGTGTGAGGGTGGCAAGATTAGGGTGAGAGATGACATAAGACGTGTCATCAGCAAAGAGAATGGGTTTCAGGTGTTGGGATACGTTTGGAAGGTCATTGATGTATATGAGGAATGAGCAGGGGACAAGGACACTTCCTTGCGGAACTCCAGTATCAAGTGGCCGTGTTGCTGATGCTGTGTCTTTAATGGTGACGTACTGATACCTATTAGTAATGTAAGATTTGAAATAAGCAAAGAGCATGGCCTCTTATTACCGTAATGATCAAGTTTGTGGAGTAGGATGTCGTGGTCTACTGTGTCAAAAGCTTTTCTTAGATCAATTAAAATTCCAGTGGATATTCCTTATTTTCCAATGCTGTGTAAAGCAGGATCTTAGCATTTTTATTGATTGCATCATTAGTGCTTTTATTTTTCCGAATCCAAATTGGCAGGGGTTGAGTATGTTTGAGCCGTTATAAATGAATACAGTCTCTGTGCACGAGTTTCTCAAAGATTTTGGATAAAACAATGGTAGTTAGATATTGGCTTATAGTTGTTTAAGTCTGTAGGGGTACACTTTATGTATTGGTGTAACCCTTGCCATCTTGAGTAGTTTTCGGGAAGGTGCTAGTCTCTAGTGACTTGTTAAAAAGTAATGAAATAGCATGCGAAAGGACATGGGCCCTCTGCTTGTACAGTAGTGGTGGGACATGAGACAGATTCCCCGAGTTATTTTTAAGTGACTTTATAATCTCAGTGACTTCACGTGGGCTCAGTTGGCTGCAAGATAGAAGGAATTGGGAAATTCCCATTAGGTAGTCCCCGGCATGGGCATTGGTATGTGGGATTTTACTGGCGAGATTAGATACCTATGGTTGAGAGAAGTCGTTTATCTTGTTAGCTGTGTCAGTGGGATGTAGTGGTGTTTCATTAGGTTTAGTTAGGACAATATTCTTGGTTTTCTCAGTTGTGGGTCCCTAGAATCTGAGAGAGTGTTTCAGGTTTTTTTTTTATATACTCCTCTAGTGTCTGTGAATCTGATGGAGTAGTATAAGTTGTTTGGCTTTCTTTATTACTTGGTGAGAGTTGATGAATAGTGTTTAAGATATCTTTGTATATTAAGCCCTGTCTATATTGCTTTTCATATTGGTGTTTCTTGTCAATGGATTTCAGATAATGGTGCTGGTTAGCCATGGGCAACCAAGCCGTTTGTTTGTGATCTGTTTGTGTTTTATAGGACATGTTTGTTGTATAGTCTAAGTAATTTGTTAGAAAAATGTCTGTCCAGTCATCAATACCATTGGCCTTGGAGAATTCTGTAGGCCAATCAACACTCTCTAGGTCAGCTGTGAACTTCCTTATGAGGCCTCGTCATGGAGTCTAAATGAGACTTGTTGTATTCAAGTGGTGTTTACTAATGTTTGTAGGAGGAAGGTAGGGTAGTGGTCTGTAGTGCTATTTGTGATTATCCCTGATTTAAGGGGGACTAGTATATTGGTCCATATGTGGTCTATTATGGTTGCACTTGTCTATGTGACCTGGTTGGTTTGTTATGTTGTATGAGATGTGTGTTGTTCATATTGTTGATGAAATCAGTTACAGGCTGATCATCTAGTAGCCAAGGTTGATGTTGAAGTCTCCAGCTAAGAGAAGGTGGTGCTTATTCATTTGTCTGTTTGTTATTAGTGACTTTAATTTCTCACTGAAATTTGGGATGTTTGTGTGAGGTATCCGGTAGATGGCACCGATTGTTATAGGCGTTCTTAAGGTTTTTTACAGTAAATTAGCAAAAATGTATTCCCATATTCATCACTAAAGCAAATGGTGCTAAGACAAGATAATTGGTTAGAGTAATAGATTGCAATACCACCCCAACTTGGTTTGGTCTGCAGTTGTGAATTGCTGTGTATCCTGGTAGAGGGTAGATATCTATTATGTCCTGCTTAAGCCACAGTCTCAGTAAGAATAATGCAGGAGAAGGGTGTCTTTAGTGATTCAAGGAGTGCTAGGAGGTCATCATAGTGTTTGCTTAAGGACCTGATGTTGTAGTTAAGTACTGATAGACTTTTAGCATTGTTTAGGATAGTGGTGGCTTGTGATTGGGTGTCAGATTATGGAGGTTTAGATCAGGGTCAACGTGATCAATCATCTTCTAGGTTTAAATTATGGTTATTTATATCCTGAGTTGTGTGTTGAGTTCTAGTACTGATATCTGTAGTGGTAGGAAGTTTGGACAAGTATATAGCTAGAGTATTTTGGTCATGTAGGGTATAGTCACTACTACACATAATGAAGTTGATGTTGTCTATGTGTTGTGCTGGAATGAACTAAAGTACAACTAGGTATAAACTAGTAATATAAAAATACAAATTAAAAATAGAGCAAGACTCTCACTTGTAATTGCACTAAGGTCTAATAATGACTTTTGGGAGTCTATGTTTTGAGCTAGAATGAGCTATAGAAACGATAGGTTTAATCTAATAATATAAAAATACAAATTAAAAATAGCACTAGTCTCTCACTAGTAATTGCACTATGGTCTAATATAGTGAATTTGTATTGACTATGTCTTGAGTTAGAATGAGCTATGGTACAACTGAATTAATCTAAAATATAAAATACAGATTAAAAAGCACCAGTCTCTCACTAGTAATTGCACTATGGTCTAATATATGAATTTGGTATTGACTATTGTATTGAGCTAGAAAGAGCTATAGTACAACTAGGTTTAGTCTAATAAATATAAAAAATACAAATTACAAATAGCACCAGTCTCTTACTAGTAATTGCACTATGGTCTAGTATAGTGAATTTGGTATTGACTATGTATTGAGCTAGAATGAGCTAGAGTAAAACTGTGATTAATTAATAATATAATAAAGAACAAGACTCTCAATTGTAATTGCACTAAGGTCTTATATAAGTGTTTATAAGAATTAGAGTATAATTAGATTTAAATTGACAGGATAAAATACACAAATTAAGGTAGCAGAAGAATAATAAAAAAAATGATAAAAATAAAAATGGCAATGACTTGGTTATAATATGCTAGTAAGATGGTAGACAGGATAATATAAAAGTTGTAGTTGAAAAATACTAGTTTAAAAAAGTATGGAATAAAAATGGTCAATAAAAGAAGTTTACAATAAGTTTGATCAATATAGTTTAAAGTAAAATTGGGCAATAATAGGGATTTAGAATAAAATTGGGCAATTGAGCATTTTTTTAAAGTGAGGTAGAATTATTGAAGACAAGTTATGGTTAGTTTATAATAAAATAAGATGGAACAGTGATGTGGTAAGTTGTAAAAAAGGAGATAGATTCTGTAGATATTAAACACAATTAAGACTATGAGGTAGAATGGTCGTTGAATACAACAATGACAATCAAAAGTAGTTGGGGTATTAGAATTTTAGGGGGGCACAAATTTATGACAATATAACACTAACTGTGGACTGTGGGTATTATCTGCACTTTACTCTGATTCTGTTAGTCCAGCCTCACTGAAGAAGCCTACTGTGTAGGCGAAACGTTTCGAAATAAAGTTGACTAACTGTTGCATATGTGTCTTACCTAACAACATGGTGTATGGAAGGTCAAGTTACCTGCACTGCTTGTGTTAACCTTAGATGACACCAGGGACCATCCTCACACTGTGCTGATCCTTCCTGGTTGATGACAACCTGCAAGGGATTGGCAAGACGGTATCTTGGACTGTCATGTATATTGATATCCAAATTAATATTTTTTTTCTTAGTCTTGATCCATACGTCCAGATAGTTTTGTCCTTCTGGCACTTTAATGTTGATTTCCTTGTCATTGTAAGACTTGCAAGGCGGACCACCTGTTGGTTAGTAAAGGAAGAGATGGAAAAGATTAGTAAGAATGTAAGTTTATTTACGTACTGACTCACGTAAGTACAATTACCATAAATAGGAAATGTGTAAATTACCAATGAAAACCCCTAAAAAAAGCCAAAGTGACTTATTACCTTTGCATGGTAAGGGAAATTAATAGTGATTTCGTTATTATAGAAAGCTGTGTACATCTGCAGTGTGCTGCTACCTTAATGTGTACATCTGCAGTGTGCTGCTACCTTACTGTGTGTACATCCGCAGTGTGCTGCTACCTTACTGTGTACATCTGCAGTGTGCTGCTACCTTACTGTGTACATCTGCAGTGTGCTGCTACCTTACTGTGTACATCTGCAGTGTGCTGCTACCTTACTCTGTGTACATCCGCAGTGTGCTGCTACCTTACTGTGTACATCTGCAGTGTGCTGCTACCTTACTGTGTACATCTGCAGTGTGCTACTACCTTACTCTGTGTATATCCGCAATGTGCTGCTACCTTACTGTGTACATCTGCAGTGTGCTGCTACCTTACTGTGTACATCTGCAGTGTGCTACTACCTTACTGTGTACATCTGCAGTGTGCTGCTACCTTACTGTGTACATCTGCAGTGTGCTGCTACCTTACTGTGTACATCTGAAGTGTGCTGCTACCTTACTGTGTACATCCGCAGTGTGCTGCTACCTTACTGTGTACATCTGCAGTGTGCTGCTACCTTACTGTGTACATCTGCAGTGTGCTGCTACCTTACTGGTGTACATCTGAAGTGTGCTGCTACCTTACTGTGTAATCCGCAGTGTGCTGCTACCTTACTGTGTACATCTGCAGTGTGCTGCTACCTTACTGTGTATATCCGCAGTGTGCTGCTACCTTACTGTGTACATCCGCAGTGTGCTGCTACCTTACTGTGTACATCTGCAGTGTGCTGCTACCTTACTGTGTACATCTGAAGTGTGCTGCTACCTTACTGTGTACATCCGCAGTGTGCTGCTACCTTACTGTGTACATCTGCAGTGTGCTGCTACCTTACTGTGTACATCCGCAGTGTGCTGCTACCTTACTGTGTACATCCGCAGTGTGCTGCTACCTTACTGTGTACATCTGCAGTGTGCTGCTACCTTACTGTGTACATCTGCAGTGTGCTGCTACCTTACTCTGTGTATATCCGCAGTGTGCTGCTACCTTACTGTGTACATCTGCAGTGTGCTGCTACCTTACTGTGTACATCTGCAGTGTGCTACTTACTTACTGTGTACTCTGCAGTGTGCTGCTACCTTACTGTGTACATCTGCAGTGTGCTGCTACCTTACTGTGTACATCTGCAGTGTGCTGCTACCTTACTGTGTACATCTGCAGTGTGCTGCTACCTTACTGTGTACATCTGCAGTGTGCTACTACCTTACTGTGTACATCTGCAGTGTGCTGCTACCTTACTGTGTACATCTGCAGTGTGCTGCTACCTTACTCTGTGTATATCCGCAGTGTGCTGCTACCTTACTGTGTACATCTGCCCCGTGTGCTGCTACCTTACTGTGTACATCTGCAGTGTGCTACTACCTTACTCTGTGTATATCCGCAATGTGCTGCTACCTTACTGTGTACATCTGCAGTGTGCTACTACCTTACTCTGTGTATATCCGCAGTGTGCTGCTACCTTACTGTGTACATCTGCAGTGTGCTGCTACCTTACTGTGTACATCTGCAGTGTGTTGCTACCTTACCGTGTACATCTGCAGTGTGCTGCTACCTTACTGTGTACATCTGCAGTGTGTTGCTACCTTACCGTGTACATCTGCAGTGTGCTGCTACCTTACTGTGTACATCTGCAGTGTGTTGCTACCTTACCGTGTACATCTGCAGTGTGCTGCTACCTTACTGTGTACATCCGCAGTGTGCTGCTACCTTACTGTGTACATCTGCAGTGTGCTGCTACCTTACTGTGTACATCTGCAGTGTGTTGCTACCTTACCGTGTACATCTGCAGTGTGCTGCTACCTTACTGTGTACATCCGCAGTGTGCTGCTACCTTACTGTGTACATCTGCAGTGTGCTGCTACCTTATTCTGTGTATATCCGCAGTGTGCTGCTACCTTACTGTGTACATCCGCAGTGTGCTGCTACCTTACTGTGTACATCCGCAGTGTGCTACTACATTAATCTGTGTACATCCGCAGTGTGCTACTACCTTTCTTTGTGTACATCCGCAGTGTGCTGCTACCTTATTCTGTACATCCACAATGTGCTGCTACCTTACTCTGTGTACAACCGCAGTGTGCTGCTACCTTACTGTGTACATCCGCAGTGTGCTACTACCTTACTCTGTGTACATCCGCAGTGTGCTACTACCTTACTCTGTGTACATCCGCAGTGTGCTACTACCTTACTCTGTGTACATCCGCAGTGTGCTGCTACCTTATTGTGTACATCCGCAATGTGCTGCTGCATTACTGTGTACATCCGCAGTGTGCTGCTACATTACTGTGTACATCCGCAGTGTGCTGCTACCTTATTCTGTACATCCGCAATGTGCTGCTACATTACTGTGTACAACCGCAGTGTGCTGCTACCTTACTGTGTACATCCGCAGTGTGCTACTGTTACAAAAACGCGATTCTAAAAGTTTAGAGATCTCCAGTGAATACTAGAAAGGACTGCCCTTCTAGCATCCAGCCTGTTACTGGGTTTTCGTAACAAGTAGTCAGTATCCTTGTCCAATTATCCATTAGAATTCAGTATGATTCAATAGTGCTTCAGGATTACAACTGGTAGGCTACTAACTAGATAAAATAAAATTTAATAAATTTATTAAGTTGTCTAGGCATATATCAAATTAAATTAATCACAGTAATCAACAAAATAAGAATAATCACTTCTGTCGTATACAGTAGTATTGTGCTGAAAGCACATATAACATTTATAAGTCTTAAGTATCGTCTGGTACATTAACATTTAATAAGATATTAAAAATATGTACAAGTAAGTTTGTGTGTAAGTGTGTAAGTGCTCTAAGTAGTTCGCTATGTCTCACGACTCGACTAGACTTAAACAAGTGACTGACAGTCCTCACATTAACTAACTTCTTGACCAACTGGCAATCAGAACAGTCTGCTTAAACAATAAAAAGAATGCTAAGCCAAATAGCAATATAACAAGCAACTGCGACACAGAATCAGGAACAAGGAGATAATATAACGACACTAAGTAGGGACCATCTGCAGATCCTCCACAAAAGTCATAAAACTCCCATACTACTGAATCTAAGTTCAGCATATGAAAATCCCCGACTGTGATAATACACAGATACCAGTACAAGTTAGGTCAGAAGCTACAGCTCAGGACCTGAGTTGTTTAGAGTGTCTATGCGACACACAACCTCAGTACAACGTCGAAAATCACTAAGTCTATACAATGTTCTGTGAAGAGAGTTCTACAGAACTAACAAGAATAATGAGACAGACAATCTGTCCAACCACCAAGTGAGTCTAGACCAGACTGAATACTTCAGGCGAGGTGAGGACACCCCCCACCCTCGATCACGTGATAGCTCCGTGGACAGCTGCAGCTCAGAAACAGAAGCCGGCAGTCTAACGAGCCACAAGAGATAATTACAGTAGTTAGACAATCAAGACTTGAACTGAGCACATAATATGTTACATCCTACCTAACCAAAGGAAGCTAAGTCAAATAACAATATAAAGCAATACATTTACGATTTAGCTATTATCGCAAATACAAGCAATATAAAATTATATGAAAAGGTAATAATTATATATATATATATATACATATTAATCATTGCAACCCATTCAGGGGTTGCAACAGCTACTACCTTACTCTATGTACATCCGCAATGTGCTGCTACCTTACTCTGTGTACAACCGCAGTGTGCTGCTACCTTACTGTGTACATCCGCAGTGTGCTACTACCTTACTCTTTGTACATCCGCAGTGTGCTACTACCTTACTCTTTGTACATCCGCAGTGTGCTACTTCCTTACTCTGTGTACATCCGCAGTGTGCTGCTACCTTACTCTTTGTACATCCGCAGTGTGCTACTACCTTACTCTTTGTACATCCGCAGTGTGCTACTACCTTACTCTTTGTACATCCGCAGTGTGCTACTACCTTACTCTTTGTACATCCGCAGTGTGCTACTACCTTACTCTGTGTACATCCGCAGTGTGCTGCTACCTTACTCTGTGTACATCCGCAGTGTGCTGCTACCTTACTCTCTTCCAGGAGTGAGCAGCCTTTCTCATTCCATGCGCCATTTTTTCCAGGCTGTAGTTCAGGTGCGCCAAACGACGCTTTTACCCTCATTCACTTCTTGAAAAATATGTTAATATGGACATATCTAGGATTTTTCCTTATAAAAATTTAATGTAAAGACAAGTTAAACATTACTTTAATAAGACTTGCGAGTGTGCTTTGATTACGTCAAGCTTCGTAATATTTGTAGTTAAATTAGTTACGGAGAGCAGCAGAGAATTCTTCAAATTTGAATCAGTAAGTTGCGACTTCAGCTTGTTTTTAATAAATTTCATGAATGAAAATGCTTGTTTGCATCTGTAGGGGGTATAATGCGCCACTTTAATCATGCAATGCCCACACTTTTAGCGCATGCGCCAGAGGTTGGCCATCCCTGATCTATACGATTATTTTATGGGAACAAAAGCTAGCCAATTTTAGCTTTTATATTACATCACACAACTTACGTGCGTCAGGCAGTGAAGTACATAGACCTCTACCTAATTATCATCATATTTTTTGCACATCACTTTGTTCTTTGTCAGTGGCTTGGTATGTATCAGTTGCAGCTCAAGCATGGGCTGCAATTGATAGCTACTGTCTTGCCTCAGAGAATTTTCCCTCCTATCTGCTGCTGTCTTGCAACATTGCATAGCTCCTGACGATGCACGAGAGTACGAAAGATCTAGAGCTAAAGCTTTCCATCCCCATGTGGCTTGTTCTGCATTGTTAAGCTCGCATGCTT